ATCTCAAACCATAGGGACCATTCGTGTAATTTACTCTAAAAAGTCCTTTTTTTAATTTTTTTTTAATTTTAGGAGGGACAAATTTCATAAAGAAACTTGCTGAAAATGACTATTTTTCCAATTTTTGATGAGTTTGATTTGATTTCCTGAAAAAAAAAAATTACAAACTACAAAAATACAAACTATAAGGATCATATTTGCAGTATTGTCAAAAATTAAATAAAATTGACCCTAAATAAACGATACAAAAAAAAAATACTCCCTCCATCCCAATATTATTGTCCACAGACAAAAAAACACACAGATTAAGAAAAGCATTAATTACCACTAACTTTATATAATAAAATGACAGTTTTGTCCTTACTTTGCATTTAATGTTTCATTAAATGCTTAGTTGGTTAAGTAATAATGAGGGAGTATTTTGGTAAAAATGTTATTTATTTTTAGAAGTGGACTATTATTTTGGAACAAACCAAAAAGGAAAGATGGATTATAATTTTGGGACGGAGGGAGTACTAATTTTCGAACATACCATAAACTTGACCAAACCGACGAGGTATCATAATCGGTTGATTAGCAAGATCATCAAAAGACCAAATTTTTAAATGTACATCATATCTTCTACCTCTGCCATCTCAAAGGGGCCATTAATTAACCTTCTCTATACCCAAACCCATCTTCTATGTATCTCTTCAATCTGATCAAACTCTATATTCCAGTATTCTTTGCAAATCTAACAACCTCAACAACAACAAACAAAAAAAGGAAAACTCAGAATCTATACCCTTATAATGCTCCATGCCTCTTCAAGATTTAGCAAACCGAGCATTAATCCTCTTCTGGATCGGAGTCCTGCAAGAGGGACACTCATTCATCCTCTCCTCATGCTTCACATTGCATGCTTTACAAAGAACTTGATGACCACAAGGAACAAAAACAACAGTCATCTCTTCATTCAAACACATCACACATTCCCTATCCTTCTTCTTCTTCTTCTTCATCATCTTCTTCTTCTTCTTTTTTCTCTTCTTGCTCATATTTCTGAAATCTTCTAACCCTTTTGAAGAGTCCATGTTCATATTCATACTCATATACATTTCAGCAATCCTCTTACTTTCAGCCTCTAACTTAAACGCAGATATCTCATACTCAATCCTCTTGTTTTCAGTCTCATTCTTTTTAAACTCTTCCTCCGCCTTCCCTTTCATTATCTCATATTCTGCCATAGCCAAAGCTTCAATACGTTCTCTTTCGTTCTTGATACATTCAGCCTTGTTAACAACTTTAGCAGTCTCCCTTTCCTCCTTCGCGACCCTAATCTGAAATTTTATCAATCGCATTTATAAATATTGTATTCTATGGTAAATATTAATAAAAAAAAAGGTACAAAAATAGATAAATATACCAGGGCTTCTGAGAGGAGACATTTGGCCTTTTCTAGTTCCTGTTGCTTTTGACCCACCTGACGTTTTAACACTTTAAGCTCTTCTTCCAATGAAGTCTTTTCAGACCCAAAAGTCGACTGAGACTTTTTCCGAGCTTCTTCCTCTTTGATCAGCGCTTGTTCCAATCTTTTAGCTTCAAAGATGCTTCGATTTCTTTCCCTTTCCGACTCCTCTTTGATAACAGATTGTTCAGTCTGGAGCTTAACAATGGTGGAATTAGCCACATTAAGCTCGCTATTTGTAGTATTCAGAGTAAGCGTTGTTTCCAATAGTCTCTTAGCTGTGTTCTCATCCATGGCTTCATTATCTTTCATTTCCGCTTTCAACGTATTGACCTCCGATCGATGCTGGTTCAGCCGCTTGGTGACCTCCATAACCTTCGACGTCGCCCAATCGTCCCAGCCTTGAAGCTCTTTCTGCAACGCCTCAATTTGAGCAACTGCCTCTAATCTCAGTATATCCTTGTCATCTCGAGGCACATACTCACCATTTTCATCACAAGGAATGTTTTTCAAATAGTAATCTATGGTTTTCGGTTGTTCAGACTTTGGTGTTCCTTTTGGTTTCTCTTCGGTTTCTTTTAATGGCAAAGATGTGTTCTTGTTTTGTTCAGAAGAAGAAGAAGAAGAAGAAGAAGAAGAAGATGGTGATTGTTTGTTGATCAATGACAATTCTTTCAAGCTAAAAACTTGCTTCTTCAAGCCTTTTCTAATACGTCGTCCCTTATATGGCTTTTCTAGAAGTAAAGCAGCCTTCCCTCGAAGGGTAGCGTCTCGTTTGTGTGTAGCCATTGCGCACCAGTTTCTACAAGTGCATATGTCAACCGTTTTTTTCCCAGATTTTGAGCTTTGAGGGGGTGGTCTTTTAACATTTGAGGCTATGGTTTCTTGATTTTTAGGTTCAGATTTAGACCCAGATTCAGTTTCGGGTTCTGCAGATGTACCCATTTGTTGAAGGTCTCTTTCCATAACACTTGCTTTAGACACATTCAAATCGCACATCAAAAGACACCAAATTGCTTCACTAACAGATAGACTTGGTTTGATATCTCTAAGCGTAGTCACCATCTCCAAAACCGTGAAATCCACCAATTCGTTTAATTCTTGAAATGTATAATCCGCTGAATCATTGTATTTCTTGTTGTTACTTTGAAGAGAAAGTAAAGCACCTTCAACAATGTTTGACTCCAGGTTGCCTTCAGAGCAATGGAAAGGAGTGAAAGGACCACATCTTAAAATCGCATGTTCAGCAGCTTCCTCGGTGTACCCTTTTTTAGTAATCTTTGTGATAGCATTTTGAATGCATAGGTTTAAGGTTTCTGAAAGAAGTTTTACGAGACCTCTAACACCTGTAGTAGCGCAGTCAGGATTATTCAAGAATGCTTCGACTTCCTCCTTGGACATAACGAGTTTAGCCTTCATTGACTCCATGACTTTATCTTCAAAATCTTCATATTCCAACAATTTTGTTAGGAATTACGACTATAATTCGGGCGAACAAGAGGAAATTTGAACAAATTAATGAATTAAAATATTTTTGACATAATCAAATAAATGCAGCAAATTAATGAAAAAGTCATGGCGTCACCTTATAATCAATGCTAAATTGTATGTATTCACATTGGTTTCAGAAAATGATGCAAATAATTCACGAAAGGAGCACCATTACCTTGAACTAACTCTTTCTCTGTTAAATCGGAAAGGATCCTAAAACTCGATTGGAAAATTAATCCCAGAAGAAGAAAGCATAAAAGGAAATGTTCATTCAGTCAATTAAACAAACACATAGAGGGACATGAATTGAACTAAACCAGCTTCACACAATCAGATGAAAACCTAGGAATCCCAATTTAGTTCAGAACGGAAAACAGAAATTGTATCATCGGAATCAAGAATTAATCAAATTAAGAAACATACCCATCAATCCACCACCAATGATCTTGTGAGAAACTCGAATAATTCAGAAACACAAACGGTGGCCTCAAACTCAAGTGAAAGAAGCAACGATAGCAGAATTTAAAGAAAATGTAGGATGAAACCCAACTCCATTCTTGTCTTTTTACAAACCCCGGAGAAGAACGCTTGTTCTGCTGAAAATCAGAAGGTTGGTTTGGAGCTATTTATAGGGATTTGGGAAACCCATTTCAGCAGGATTGAAGTGAAAAGTGACAAAAACGGGCACTTATTTTATTTTCTATTATTAATATTAATTTTCATTCAATGGATATATCATGTGAATCCACAATAATATTACGATAACCTTGCTATTATATTTACCTCACATTCACATAAATCGGCACATCATTAGGATATTATATCATGGGATACACAAATACTATTATACTTACGATAAGGGATACACAAAGGATACGAATAGAATTTTCCCTTACGATAATAGAAAAGGTAATTATTAAACTAAATCATATTAAGTTACAATATATATAACTTGCAGTGGCGAATGTAGAACCGAAAACTATGTAGTTCCTTATGTAAGTTAAACTGAAAAATAACGAGAGTAAAGAAAAATAGTGGCAGACTGGCGCCTGGTGGAGGGCAGCGATTGGTTGGTGGCATTGCTCGGACGACAGACAACGTAGGGAGGAACTGGTGGTCGGTTGGGAGCAAGGAGGGGAACACTATATGATGCTTCGGAGATTTCGATCACGCCTTAGGCCAAGCAACATTTCAAATTTCAAGCCTTTTGCTATTTCTTTTCTTTTTTTGTTTAATTTTTTATTAGATCGGGCTATTCCAAATGATTAATGTGTAAGTGGTTTAAGACATTAAGCTACTTTAAGTGGACTGAAATATAATAGGCTTCATATATTTTGATCCATTTTCTTTTTGACAAAGTTTATAAGGTATGTCTTTTGAAACTATAAGGTAGGTCCCAATTTTCTTCATTCATACCTTATACCGGCTTTAAAAAAAAATAGGTGGGTCCTAGGACCCACCTTCACTCTTATTAGCTACGCCCTTGTTAGATCGGGCATGGATTGAGACATTAAGTTATTTTAAATGGATTGAAATATAATAGGTTTCATATATTTTGATCCATTTCTTTTTGACATAGTTTATAAGGTAGGTCTTTTAAAACTATAAGGTAGGTCCCAATTTTCTTCATTCATACCTTATACTGGCTTTAAAAAAATAGGTGGGTCCTAGGACCCACCTTCACTCTTCTTAGCTACGTCATTGATAACTTGGCGAGTTGATACATGTTTAAGATCGTATTCTAGACCACCCCCATGGCCTGACCCGTACAAGTCTTGTAGCAGAAAGCTTGAACACACTTTGCATGAGGAAGACCAAGTCAATAAAAGTAGTTTTCTCAAGTTAGGACTCACCCATGTTTCAATTAACATGCATGTTTCCTTATTTCTAGTTAGCAAGTTATTTCCTTTCCTATAAATGATAATCATCCTTGGCATGAATATTAAGCAGAAAAGTTAATGAAATTGTTATTTGATTTTAGTCTATCTTCTTCATCTTAATTCTTGGGAGATTAGTCATCTCGAATTGGCTTCAATCAATGGTGCTTTCATTGACGTTAATCATGCCTCCCCGCGAAGATCTGTCAACCGACGACACACCGCCAACTATCCACGAGCAACTCTCCACACTCATTGTTATTTCCACTGTTAATCTCCACCGTCTTGATGCAATTATCACACAAATGACCACCATCAACACCCTCATGATCGGCATTCAAACCGAAACCATGGCCAAAATCATGTCGCCTCTGCCTTCGCTTCCACCACAGAATCAACAACGAAGGCCGTCGCCACCGCGATTGCCAACAACGCTATCTACACTGCCACTGCCACCGCCACACCGGTCGTTATCGCCACCACCGTCGCCGCCTCCAAAACCATTGCAATTGCCAGTGTCAACACAACACCCACTTCCACCATTACCGCAACCGCCACCATCGAAAGTAACATCCAGGCAATTCCGACCCGTCACTTTTCAACCGTTCAACCCACAGTTTCCCGCTCTCGTTGTTGTAGGCACCCGTATGCAGGACCTTGAGGACAAGGTCCATTTGAAGGACGGAGGAATTGATACATGTTTAAGATCGTATTCTAGACCACCCCCATGGCCTGACCCGTACAAGTCTTGTAGCAGAAATCTTGAACACACTTTGCATGAGGAAGACCAAGTCAATAAAAGTAGTTTTCTCAAGTTAGGACTCACCCACGTTTCAATTAGCATACATGTTTCGTTATTTCTAGTTAGCAAGTTATTTCCTTTTCCTATAAATGATAATCATCCTTGGCATGAATATTAAGCAGAAAAGTTAATGAAATTGTTATTTGATTTTAGTCTATCTTCTTCATCTTAATTCTTGGGAGATTAGCCATCTCGAATTGGCTTCTATCACGAGTATTCGCATGTTGTGTAAAATATTATAATTTAATAAATATATGTAATGAAAATAACTATGTGTGGTATCATTGACTTTGAAATAATATGTTTTACACTGTAATTATTTTAAATATCGAATAAAATTAGAGGTGACAAATCAGACAATCGTATCGTGTTTTTGTCTGACACGACACGACACGATAATATTTTATGTAACTCGAACACAAAACGAAACAATGTCGTGTGTTTTTTTACTAACATGAAAACGAACCAATTAAAACACGACAGACACGACACGACACAACAAAGATAGTCTAATATAACAATTAGTTTATTTAATTAATATTTAATTATACATAACACGAAAACACAACAAACAAATGCTAAATCGTGTCAATATCATATTGAATTTTGAAAACGAACACAACACGATATCGTATTTTTTACACTTGACACGAACACGGATTCAAATTTCAATTTTGTCCTAATTTCGTTTCGCGTCATGTATTTTTGTTGTGTCGTGTCATCAATTGTCTTCCCTAAATAAGATAGATACATATTTAAATTAACTCATCTCAAGAGTGTTTATTCTTGGATAGTGTAAAATTTCATTAACTTTTGATTTATTGTATTATTAACTATTATGATAATTAATTAGTTTATATAGATATCTTTTAGAATTATATTATTTTAATTATATATATATATATATATATATATATATATATATATATATATCCAAACATGTTTTTGTTCTCTAACAATAACAGTTTGATCTATTATTTTTTTTCCTCATAAAATGCATCAACAAATACTTTCCTCCATTCACCTGCATAAATAAAAATTTAGAATTTATATATAAAATTAGTTAACTTTTAAAAAATATTTAATTACACTTTTACATAGAGACAAATATGAGTAATGAAGTCATTTTACCTAGAGAATATCACGCCACTTAATATATTTCATGTCATCTAGGCATGATCGTCATATAGGTAAGTCAGATTTCGAGTTATCGATTTGATGTTTGTCACTTAACTAAACTGTATTACTTCCGTTAATCCGCTTTTTGGTTATTTGGTTCCAGTTTGAACAAATTCGGTTTCGTCACTCGAATAACACACCAAATCCAAATTGTTGCATTCGTCTTCTCTTACTCACGTAATTTCATCAACTTATGTAATATCTTTTGGTTATTATATTTTGGCACTCATTAACTTGGTCAAGCTTCGCAGTCGAATACATCGATTCATGTGAATATATCATATATTAATATAGAGATATACTATCTAGAGTGAAGTGTATGTAATTACTTATTTGAGTACAAATATTAAACCACCCAAGTCACGTGTTTTAATGAGTAATATTGTTCATGTGAAAAAACATTAAACCTATAACATATTTATTCAAGTGAAAAAATCACTACATTTTAAACATTTCACATATTTATTCATGTGAAAAAAATTGTAAGCACACGTGCTTGATAAAAAAAATACTCTAAGAATGAGTAATATTGTCATTCTACTCAATTAGAAGAATTAATCATTGGAATCCTAATTGTTATCTGAAAGTAAAACAAAAAAAAATCTTGTAGGTAGAGGAATATATGGTTAGCAAATGGTTAAAACGAGTGACACTTTGACCAATAGATTCATATGATTTTTGTTCGAATGAACCAAATTCAGATAAAAGAGTAGTTTGAATTGAATGAAGTTAATTAGCATCACCAGAGTATAATTCTTTCAATCTTACCCATATTTCATGAGCTGTAAGACAAGAACTTACCAAACGAAAGGTATATGAAGGAAGAGCAAACCTCAGAATTTTGAATGCCTTTAAATTGCACAACATCAATTCTTTTTCTTCAGATACAATAGTCTTTTTAGCAGCAAGATCATCAAATTCCTTTTGGGTACATATTATATGTTCAGTCTTTGCTACTTTGAACGGTCCTTCTTCGATTGCACGCCAGATACTCGAACCATGATTTTCAATGCTATGAACATAGTCCTCAAAATGAAGTGCCCATACTTCATAGTCTTCTAGAAAGAGAATTAGAATTCGATTTATAGAACCAATAGCACTATGAAGATTTAATGAAATCGAGTGAGAATCTTTCTTAGACATTTTCGAGAAAATTTCAATAGAAAAAGAGATTACAATCAGATTTGTTTTAACGCCTAGTTTCTGGTACGCATTTATGTATAAATTATTCATTTCAATAGAGCTACTCGACGAGTTGGAAGCCCCAGACTCGTCGAGTAGAATCAAGTCTTGGACGCGGGTTTTCAGCTATCTACTCGACGAGTCGAGAGCCCTTGATTCGGTGAGTAGGTCTGCCAGAGTGAAACCCTAATTTCGGGGTTTTGCACCCTATTTAAGCATCTTAATCCCCACCTTTTGGTCTTATTTCCGGCCTCCAAGTCCTAAACCCTAATCCACGAAACCCTAGAGCATTTTGTGAGTGTGTGAGCCATTCTTGAGTGATTTTGTATGTTCTTGAAGCTAGAAGAAGAAGAAGGAGCTAGAAGGTTCAAGGAGAAGATAGTAGATCCAGGGATTTCCTTCCATCCTCATCACTTTCTGGTAATAAAGTCTCTAGCTTGACTATTATTTCATTAGATCTTTTTAGTTCCATTTTATGATAGTTTTGGTTCAAGAATCTAGATCTTTGGGACATGGACGTCCCAAGTAGCTTACCCTTTCAGATCTGGAACCATTAAGGGTTGTTAAGGCATAAAGGTGCAAACTTTATGCCATTGGAGCCCCCATGCAAGCCTTAAGGATGTTATTATGGCCTTTTAAGCCCCAAAAGGCCATGCATAGAAGTAAAGTCTGAGACTTTACGTGTTCATGGGGATTCTAAGGCCTAGATCTTGATTTTCATGCCTTGGGTTGGGGTAGTGAGGCTTGTGGACAAAAATCTATGTCTTAATGAACTAGGGTTTTAGCTAAACCCATTAAGAAGGGTTATCAACGGGTAACGTTGGAAACTTTACCCTCAAAAGATCATTTACAGTGTGTAGAGGAAGTATGGACGTTGTATTTGGAGAGTAGAGGCTTAATCTGTTAAGATGGCCAAACAGACAGAGGAACTCATCGAGTCCATAGAGGAACTCGACGAGTTGGATTGGGTTGTCCCGTTTTAGCTTAAGGTAGAACTCGAAAAGTCGGTGAAGGGACTCGACGAGTTGATTCGGTAGATCGCAACTATAAGTAGCTTGGGAACTCGACGAGTCGAGGGAAGACTCGACGGGTTAGATCGCGATTACAGGTTCTAGGACCCGACGAGTTGATGGAGCAACTCGACGAGTTGGGTTAACCAGAAGGTTAACTTTGACCAAAGCGTTGACTTTGACCAGGGGTAAAATGGTCATTTTACCCTAAGGATAACTATTAGGTTTTGACTAAGTGATATTGTGTTATTAATAGCCGAGGAGTCGTTGGTGCAGCCGTCAGAGATTCCTCACTCGAGATTTCAGCAGTCAGCTTTGCGAGGTGAGTTTCCTTCAATAGAAACGGGTCTACGGCACCAAGGTCGGCCCGTATATGTGATATGTTAGTAGCTGAGTGTAGGCGGGGCCCGAATCTCATAGTATCCGAGTGTGGGCGGGGCCCGAATCTCGTAGTATTATTTGAGTATAGACTGCTTGATAGGAATAGATATACTTGTTGTCTATGTGATACTTGTATGCATGTTAGTAGCGGAGTGTGGGCGGGGCTCGAATCTCCTAGACAGCGGAGTGTGGGCGGGGCCCGAATCTCCTAGGCAGCTGAGTGTGGTCGGGGCCCGTATCTCCTAGTTGCATGTTATGTGTATGGTATGTGGTAGATTGGGGGGACTAACTAAGCTTCGTGCTTACAGTTTTCAGTTTTTGGTTTCAGGTACTTCCACTAGCAAGGGGAAGAGCTCGGGGTGACTGCATGACACACACCACTGTTTATAGCCTGGGATGTTTAGACTCTGATATTTTGACACATGGTTTTGATACAGTGTTTTGATATGATGTTTTGGATACATGACTTGTGATTTTATTATGATGTTAATGAATTATGGTTTTCTTAAATGATTTTAAAAAGAAATTTTTGGACCGTATTTTTTGGATGTTTGAAGTTGATATTAGAGCCTTGGTTTGAGGGATTCGGACACGCTCTCGGGTGTGTCTGAACTCAAACTAAGGAATTGGTATAAAAATTTTCTAAAGAAAATCATTTTATAAAAAGAACTTTGAAAAGAAGAAAAGAATTTCAAAAAGAGAAAAGGGTGTGGTGCATGCAATCAGCCGAGATCAAGTAACTACTCCCAAATTACCCATACAAGTTATGGTGCATGCAATCAGCCGAGATCAAGTAACTACTCCCAAATTACCTATACAAGTTATGTTATGATATGTTTATGAGAACTACATGCTAGAGTAGGACTAAGGATCTAGGAAGGATGCCTTATGTGCCTTTTATGTGTGTATTAGCTTTATGAATTGCATGCTAGTACAGATTAGTCAGTGATATGATGGTATGATTAGGATATGCTTGATTATGTTTACTTGATGCTCGAATGCTGCTTGCTTTGTGCTTTTAGGAGTCTTAGTTATCTTTTACTAACTAGTAAACGAATATGTTAAGTTACATATTGCAAGGATTAAATAATTTCAGAAGGTTAGGTCTAGCTCTATTTCGCAGCTCTTGTTTGAGTCCAACTGTTGTAGGGTAGGATCTCTCATTCGAAGAATTATATAGTCTTAGTGATATGTAATAGTATTCGCAAGATAGTTAGGGGAGATAGTAGGGACTTCTTATGCAGCTGATAGCGGAGAGTGAGTTGGTGATTACCCTAGGGCAAGCCTAGGATGAGATTAGCATGAGATCAGCAGTAGTAGTAGAAGGGACTTGGTGGAGTCAAGGCAGTTCTTGAGGAAAGTACGG